ATATATGTATAAAGGAACGATAAATAAGGTAGATAAGATGATTTTGCAGAAAGTGACTCGAGCAAACGAACTTAACGAACTCGATCTTGCGAGCGCTTAACGCTTGAGAGGCGCGAGTGGTTTGGTTGTTGAGTTGTTGAACGAAGCACCGGTGTCTAATTGGATACACGAAGTGGAATTAGTCCAAGATCGGAAGCGATGTTTGTTACGCGACGCTTTTATAGAAAATATTTTCTCCTATATCTCGCGTAATTCTCGTTCTATTCTGTGACGTTGCCAATATTTATTTATTTATTTATTTTTTTTGATTTTTTTCATTTTCAGGCTAGGCAGAAAGGTGTTTCGTTGAATGACGAGTCGAATTCGTTACTTGATCAATTTAGATTCATTCATTTTCATCATTCACCGTAATAACAAGCAACGTAAATTGATATAATGATAATTTTCGTAGCTTGAAATGTTGGAAAAAATTTCTCTTTCCACGCAAGAAAAAAAAGTTTTATTGTCTCGCTAAAAAATGCATTGAAAGCTCCAACAAGCTTGGTAGAAAATGGGGGTAATGAGAGGGGGTGGAAAAGTGGAAAGATCGTTAACGAGTCGTTTAATTGTCTTGGATTAATTGCCAAACGATCCACGTTTCTGGCGAAGGTAGAAATGGAAGAAATTTCAATTAGGAACGATGACCGTTGCAGCTGTATCGTTTATGTAATTCGTTCCTTCGAATAAGAAGAAAAGAAAGAAAGGAAAAAGAGAGGAGGGGGAGAAAAAAGGAATCAGAAGCAGAAAGGGTTGTATCGTGTATCATTTTCTCGTTGAAATCGAACGATTTCTTCTTTTTGAGAAAACAACCTTTCACCCTTTTCTCATCTTTTCTCACCCTAAGAAATTATTAAAAAATAGTATATGGTCCCTTAAAAGAAATTTGTATTGGAAGTCTTGTTAACTGCCAAGATGAATCGTCGTCGTTTCAAATCTCGTTGAACGACTTATCGAAGCCATTGGCCGCACACATTATTCCGTATTTTTAATAACGTCGAGGGGAGGAAAAAAAATTGGAAGAGAAGTTGTTAATGAAAGGTAACGGGAGCCTCGAGGATATTAAAAATTTACGATGAAACTTTTTCGCGTGGAGGATAATGAAATTTAGCCCTAGTTCGATAATCCATTAATTAATTTCCAATTGGAAAATCGATGGTTCTGTGTGCTTGTTTAATAAAAAAAAAAAAAAAAGAAGAAAAAAGACGAGGATTAATTTCTATTAAATTCGCGTCCCTTTTTGGCACGTTCGAACTTCTTCTTCTGATATTTTGTATTTAATAGGGATGATTTGGTTTTCGAGATTTTTTTATCAATTATATTATCTAACTTTCGTAGTTTAATGTTGAATGAAGTTTAGATATAGTTAAGTTTTAACAATCGATTGGTCGATTATATAAAGTTCTCTATGTTTTTGTGACTAAAAATAGTATGTTATTAATGGTACGCATTGTGCTAAATATAGAATGAAATTTTACTATAGAAATTTCACAATTTCGATATTAGATATGATTACGTATTTATTTATTCATTGATCGATTCTTTCCTCTTATATAACAGTTTTATTTAATTTAAATATCTCTTGAAATCATGCTAAAAATATTTCTCTAACTCTTTTAAACTTTCAACTCTGAACCTCCACATCTTATTCTCTCTAAACTTTTCACTATACCCCATTTTTAAACGTTTCCTCTAATTTCTTTTCAACTCTTTCGTTTCTTCCACCACTTTCAAACTTTCAACGTTCAACTTTCTCCACCACTCGCCAATTTTTTCTTTAGATTTATTCATAAAGTTTCGTTCAACCTCCTGAACTTTACATTATCCCTTCTCCTTTGTAATCTCCTTTCACTGTTTAGTCCGGCATTCAGTTTATTACGCTTTACGTTCAACCTGGCTCAACTTGCTCGCTTCATTTGTCTTCAAATTTATGAAAAATAATAAATCTATCTTCTCGCTCGAAATCAATTTAATAAAATCAATTTTCCAACTAAAACCAAATTCTCCTTTCTCCACGCTATTTAAACCAACCGAGAAACAGAAGAGGATGACCTCGACTGTTCGACTTCGATCTTTTTTTAACAATCATCAGACAATAAAGAATACGATAAGTATAAGAGAACGATCACGTCTCGAATATCAAGTAATTGAATCGTCAAGTAAAATGTAAATAATTTTTAAATTTCAATATACACTCGCTAACTATCATCGCAGAAACGAAGTGACGAGAACAACCAAGTTAAAGTCTCAAAAATGAAAAATTCACTTTACTCACTTTTCTCATCGTCGTACTCGTCCCTGTAGAGCACCTGGCCGTCCCCTGAATCACCATCCGCGTCCTCCCTTATCACGTACGGCCTCGCGTTCTCCTTGTTCTCGAGGGTGCATGGAAGAGCAAGGCCGAATCTAACCGGTCGACTGCTGGAATAATCGGCAAGAAACACACGATCAACCGGTTATTATCGCCCTTCATTTCGTGTAAAAAAGTAACGCTGAAGTTGACGCTACTCGAACCAATGTTCTACTCTACCACGCTTTCAAATTTACGAATATATGCGGAATATATGGGATGAAAACAACGATATACGGGTTGGAGGGAAGTGTATATATGCACATTATATATATACATACATATATATATATATATTATATGTATATACATATACATATGTGACACGTCGATGAAGATAACAGAAGCAAGTTGCGGATTTTTTACGTGACTCGATTCTTGCCCGTCACGAAATAGGTTATCAACGACGTCGACGCAGATAACGCCGTTTCCTTCCCGACACGGATGCAATATTTTTCTTTTTTCTTTCTTTTTTTTATCTTGAAGAGCGTTCGAAATAGTCGCGCGAACGAGGAAACGAGGTAAGATAGTCGAGTTTCCTTCTTCGTCTCTATTCTTTTCTCTGTTGTTATTTTTAATCAGAAGAGAATTCGATTCGAGAATTTGTTTCTGTTACCATTTTTGGTTTAGGGGAAAGGTTCGGTTTTTTTTTCTTTGCTACAAAAATACAATACAAGGTACTGTTATTATGGAAAAGAAAAAAATCAGAGCAGGTAGATATACATATATACGAAATTTGGACTTTGTACATTTGGAGAAATTTTGAAAGGGGGGAAATTCAAGAAGCAGAGTATAATTTCTTTGAATCACGCATCTTAATCCTTCGCGCTTTTTTTGTTTGAAGCGTTGATATTTCGAAAATATTTCAAGAATCGTGTTACGATCTTTTCTTGAAAGAAGAATTAAAAATTGCGCGAGGGATTGAGACGACACGGAGGTAAACAGTAACAAAATATAGTAACAGAAACGAACATTTAAAAAAGATTTCGGATCAGATACAAACTTCAATTGTTTAAACAGCTGTTTATCATCGAGAGAGAGTGAGAGAGAGAGAGAGAGAGAGAGGGGTNT